TTCATTTTGATACTAGGTTACAGAAACGAAATCCTCTTTAAGATGCAAAACAGAGCAGTTCTCTGGGCCTGAAGTCACATTGTTTAAAGCCAATTAGAGCTAAAAAAAACAAAAAACACTTCACATATAAATTAGTGGCTTCCAACACACGCCAAAGGATTTGTACTATTTATTAAATTTAAAATAATTTTTGTTGCAGTTTCAACATTAAGTAGAAAAATACAAATATTTTTAAGTCATCAGATGGTTTAGTTCTTTCATGGTAAAGTTTAGGGATAAAACAGAACCATAGTTAGAGATAAGCCAGTAAACTATATTATAAATCGTACCATTCCTGAGCTCCCTTCGGTTTGTAAGTCCACAGGATAACAGAATGGTACAGTGCGGTTAGGATGGAGCTACTGGCGTGACACAACACAGGCCATTGACCGGGAGACAAAAAACAAAAACGTCCTTACTTGCAGCAAGTGGTAGACACACTAGTGTGGTAGGCATTTGGGTTTAACGCCGCCTCCCCAGAGAGAGTCCAAATGGCAACAGGAAGCTCTCCTGAATACCATAAAATAGTGAACCAGACCCCACTGATCAGTGGAAACAAGGCATCGATGACCCAAATATGTAATTGACTCATAAGACACAAAGGGAACTTTCTGGAAGGCATGAGTAAAACCTACACAGCATTACGGAAAACAGAACATCGTACTGATGACACACGGTGGCGGTAGTATGGTTGTTTTAAGCTGCTTTGCAATTTCAGGACTTGGATGGCATGATTTCAGGTGGACTTTGCTTATGTGAGAGGACAAGAATCCAAAGCCCTTTAGCAAATTCACTAATGAATGGCTTAAAAGCAGCCCTTTAAAATAAGAGTTTTGGAATGGCCTAGTCAAAGTCTGGAGTTTGACTCCACAGTCTATATGGTTGATATTCTGACTTGGCTCTTTCATGCTTGAACAGCCCGTAATTCTGCAAAGAAGAGTTCATTGGATTGTTCCACAGCAAAGTGAAAGGCTCACTAGCAGCTGTTGCTAAACTAGACAGATTCAAAGGGATTTACTTTACAGTCAGGTTGATTTAGACCGCTTGTTGAGGGCTGCACAATATTAGGAAAACATGGGATGTCTGATAATATTGGAAAAATTCTATATAATAATAAAACTTGCAATAGGGAAAGAAATAATTAAAATGTATTCATTTCTGCTTTGGCTTTGTGGCAAACATAGACCCGGGATAATCTCTAATAATATTAATCTCTCCAGGCCATAAAAATAAATAAAACTACTTTTTCCAGCTAAGCAAAGTTTTATTGAAAATACTGCTTATAGCCAACAGCTGCTGTCTTGGAAAATAAAATAAATTAGTAGTTTTTTTTATTCCCTTGACCACTTTACCAACCCTTTACTTTCCAAAGCTTTTTATTCGACATTAAACAAGTGTCGAATGTTACAGAAATAAAGATGTAAGTTGCTAGTACTTATTGCAGTCCAACCCGTTCTTTGAGGTGCAAATAGCGATAAACAAAATAAATACATTGTGCAGATCTACTCTTTTTCTATAAATCATCATTAACAGAATTGATTTTTGTATTTACACTAATTATCTTTGTCTGAAGCTAAAATTTGTTTGATTATTTTAAACATGGGGCTGCTTGTAGCAACAAGGTCGTGGGTTTGAATCCCAGCCTGGTGTCTTTCTGCATGTACTACCTGAGTATGCATGGTATCTCTCCAGGTACTCCGGCTTCCCACAGTCCAAAAACATTACTGTTAGTTTACTTAATACTCTAAAATGCCTTTAAGTGAGTGTGTGCGTGCATGATGGTGTGTCCCGGAGATGGGTTGAGTTCAGAGTGTACCCCGTCTCTCACCCAATCACTGCTGGCGAAAGGCACCAGCCCCCCAACAACACTCCAAGGGCGATAGAAGGATTTGAAGCATTTCAATGTCGCTGGAGAAAGGAAATGAAATCTCTATGCGTGCAAATACCTTTTTACAGCTCTTAGGTGTTTAAGTAAAAAACAAAGCACAGTGCAGAGTGGGGGTACTGCTCCCTAAAACACATGAGGGATGTTATTCTGTGATTACGCTCACATTATGTGTGATGGTGTAATTCTGGATGTGATGTGGGTGAGTGGCTTCACTGTGATGTAATCCCCCTGTGTAGTTTTGAGGTGACAGCTGATGGATGACATGTTTTACTATTCCGTGAAATCAACACATCATGCAGCAGAAGGACAGGGATTTTGAATTCTCCTCACCTAAACCACTCATTTTTCATCCATCCACATTGAAGTCAAGGTCCTACTGTGTCCTTGTTTGTGTACACCACAGCAAGCATGAAGAGAGCACAGCAAAAATAGCTGTTTTGTCAATGAAAGAGCAGCAGCGGACAAGCGCAGATACTACAGGATGTAGAAATAAGGGGTTGTTTGGGAACCACCAGGGATGACACAATGCTTTCTTAAAGGGAGGTGGGGGTCTAATGGCTCGACTCACACGACTCCTTCTGATCGGGTGTAAACAAACGTGACTCGAGAATTTTAAAAAAATAAAAAATCAGAGCATGTCCTTCCTCACCTGCTCTCGTCCCGACCCTTCCTCCAAAATGGGCTCTTCTGCGGCGGCCGTCTCCTCCTCTGTCTGCATCTTCCTCCCCTTTCCCTGTCTCCTTCCTCCACCTTACAACCGACCACGGGCAGCTCCCACGCAGGTAACGTCCGAAGTCATGGGCCTCCCCGGCGGTAACGGCGGAGAAGCAGGGAGCACGGTCACCCCATCCGCCGCCGCAAGTCGGTGTCCGATTTCACGATGGCGGGGCCTGCGGCAAATGAGCCTCATCTGCTGCTGCGGCCGCTGCTGCTGGTGTCCTTCCCGCGTCTCCTCCTCCTCTTCCTCCTCCCGGCGCTGTGACCCCGCTCACAGACGGTGCGGTACCCGCTCCATCCCCCGGCTCCTCCGGCTCTCTGCTTCGAAGGATAAAACGAGAAATCAGAGACCAGGAGGAGCAGCAGCCGCAGTCGGAGCCCGTCGACGCGACTCTGGCAAACGGTTTACCGTCTCAACGGCCGCCGCTCGCGCTCACCGAGCTCCGAAACGAGTTGTGGCACGTGAGGGCGCGTGACCGGCAGCGCAGGAGAGTGAACGCACACGAAGCGGAAAATTTTACCCGTCGTTTGACCTGTTAGAGGGGGAAACACCGGAGAGACGACCAAGTGACGACAAATATTAAACTTTGTTTATCGTACACCATTTGTTGGGTCGTCTTTGACGTCACACCCCAACAGTCCCACCTCAATTTTGTGCACCAGAGAGCAGAGTATTACGTTCATCAGTTAATTTAAATGGTAAGAAACCATCTCTACATCTCATGAAAACACAGCCAAAGTCCTAGAGTTAATACATTTCACATGGTCGCAGCAGGTGCAACACAAAAGGGAAAAAAAATCAAGAATTTATTCTCCAAGGCAGTTTGTAAAGCGCATTTAATACAGTATAATCGAAAGGAACACAAATAAAATAGGATAAAGGCACATTGGAAGAACAAAATACACGATCTAAATCCTCATGGCTCATAACCGACAGCTGACATCTTGACTCTCCATATCTTGAAGACTTTTTGTCCTTCATACTAGAAGCAAAGCAATTTGTGTAGCACATTTTCAGCAACAATGCAAATCGAAGTGATCCATATCACATGGCAATATCAGTGTGTAATAATGCAATAGTAAATGACAGCTTGTCCCCATCAGTGGATTTCCGATGTATAGTATCACAATTATATTGGTATCATCTTTTGTCTGTTGGACGGACTATAAGTGCCCCAAATACTGCACAGACTGTCTATATGTAGTGGCTGGTGTGTAAAGACATACAGAAAGTTATGGAGACATTGTAAAAAAATAAAAATGATTAGAAAAATGGGGGGTAATCATAAATCAGTATCACAATTTTCAGCAACAATATTGCAATGAAATACTTTCCTGATATTGTCCAGCTCTTATACATACATATACATACATTGGAGAACTGGAATGGTGAACTTGTTTGATTCTCCAACTGTGGGAAGAAAACCATTTGCTTTTAATGTTTTACCCCACCAAAGAGCCTTTTTCACAGCATAATACCTGACTACATTATGTGAAAATGGCTTCATAACTAGTCTGTGTGTGTGTCTACATTCAGCAGTTAGTTCATTTCTGAAGTGACTTTAGGAGTGAGTCTGCAATGCTTTTGGCTTCTGTGGGGAGTTTCCAGGCCAAAACAGGAGTCTTGAAAAGTGAGTTCCATTTTGGAGTCACTGCATGCTTTCAAAGGAACGGCTGTTGATTTGTATCAGTTTGATGGTTAATATCTATCTATCTGTACAGAATAGATATCTAGCTATCTAGACAGATACATAGCCACACTGGGACACCCTCTAAAAGGAAACAAATGCACCCTCAAGGGCAGCCCAGTATAACACTTTCATTCTATTGGCTGGAACGTTGCCAGGCAACGGTACTTTGGTTTTGAGAGAGAGCAGAAAATGATTTGCAAGCAAGCAGATTTGCAAGTGGAGATTTGATTTGAACAGAAAATGTTCAGTGCGAGGAGAAAGGTTTGAGAGAACACAGAATATTTGAAAGAGAGCAAAAGTTTTGAGTAGAAAGACAAAGTCCTGCTTTCAGACTGAAAATGTAAGCACAAGTATTAAAAGTTTTGAGAACAAAATGCATGAAATCCTGCTTTCAGAGTGAAAATGTGTGCTCTTGGATTATGCCAGAAAATTCCCCCCCCCAAAATTCCAGTTTGATTTTCCACTTAAACTGGATAATATTTCTGTTTGACGGCTGCATGGTAGCACTGTTGCCTGGCAGTAAGAATCCTGTTCACAGTTTGCATGATCTCCCTGAGCATGTGTGGGTTCTCTCCAGGTACTCCAGTTTCTTCCCACTCTATCTGGGATCAAATGAAACTGAATAAGAAGCTGCCAGCAATGAGAAAAAGCTGCAAAGTCACCACTATTATTTGTTGAGGACTATATTTTCAAAGTTCAATCCACACTGGAATTAGCCTCAAACACACTGAAGTCCATGTGCTGCCAGTGTGGCCTGAAATAAACAACAAAAAAAAGACCTTTAATAGTTAACGCCCTTTAATATTTCAGAGATAAGGTGATTTTTAAAATGTTTTTCACCTGAGAATAGATCAGGGGGCTTAAGGCTCATCCATGTGATTTCCTGGCCAGCTGTGAGAGCAGATGGACTCTGCCTCCACCTGTCTGCACGCACACATGCACTTCTCCACAAAAAATCTCTCAGTAAGGATGAGTGAAGCTATGTAAGGAATGTTTTTTTGTTAATATCACCTGAATATAAACTGTTAAAATTCCCTTCTTAACAATTTGTTTACGCTGGACGCTCCAAAGGATATCAGCAGTGACAGGCAGGTAGAGGATGTCAGTTTCAGTGAAGATGGTTATGTCTTCGGAGAGGTACTTCTTCGGCTCGGTTCCGTCACACATGGAAAACAGCTGGACCTGCAGTTCCGCCTGCAAACCTGACGGCACCTGCAAAGTGATTGAACTGATTTAGTTTGAAAGGAACCTGGAATTACATCATCAAATCATGCTGAAAAAGTTGGAGTGGACTTTTAAGCTGTTGTACAGACAATTGATTTTCAGGTGGAAACCTACAGGTCCAGGGTGGTAAATGACTCTGAGGCCTGTGGATGGAGGAGGCTGCTTTACAGTGAACCTGATAGGAGCAGATTGGAAAAATGAATGCATACAGAATATTATTCCTTTGGAAAATGAAGCTGCACCAAAATCTGCATCTGCCCACTTGGGTCCCTTGTTTTTGTTTTCTGGTGTACCTGGATGGGTCGACACCCAAATTCTTCATTGCCACGGTAATGGTGGCGTAGGTGCCCTCTTGCTGCGTACCAAAGTCAACGCGTGATGGGTTGAGCAGAAAGCCCCTCAACTCAGCACCGGGATCGGTCAGGGTAGCTATCCGACAATGCCTCCTCACAGGTTCTTCCACCTTCAGGAACTGGAACAGAAAGAAAGTAACGTAGACAGAAAACAGAAGTCTGGTATCTATCACTTTTCCCCTGTTGAAGGGGAAATATAATGTATTTTCCAGAAATATAGTGGCATTTTATACCACAATCAAATCACTATGCAACCTTCAGTTATAAAGATGCTATTTACATAAATTATAACTTAATATAAATTTGACTTGAAATTAGACCTCTGTCTCTTTAAAATGTCCTGCTCTTTCTGAAACTCCACCTTCAGGAAGTCATTACAACAGTGCTCTTCCTTTAACCCTTTAACAACGTTTTTATCAGCGTTGCACTGAGAAGTAGCTCGCATAATGAGCTCAGCAAATGCACAGTTCCACCCGGTGTTGACTCATTGCTCCTGGCTAGTCTGAAGGAGCTGAGTTGGGGAGTCGCAGGGCAGGACTGTTCTGTGAGATGGAAACTCTGCAGCTCTGAAACTGAAGAAACTGAGGAGGAGCGCAGTGACGACTTGTTCAGGAGGTACAAACACACAGAAAGAAGTATGGGAGAAAAGAAAGACAGGCTGCATAAAAGACAGATAGAAAAAAAATAAAGAAAGTAGTCCAAAGAAACAACAAAGAAACTGAAGGGATATCTTGTGAATATTTACATGTTTGTTTGGCTCGCTGCAGGGTTTGGAGTCGCGGAAGTAGCCAGGCAGTCTGACCTTCGCGGTTCTGGGTTGTCCCATCACATCCACCTGGACTGACTTAAAGTGCCTGGATGAGCTCTTCAGACTGCTTTCACCTATTATTAATCAAACACAAAGAAAACAAATTCTGGCTGCAACATATGAGGCTCGACTTCACAGAACATGCTTTCAGAAAAGAGTTTGATGCATTCTTTATCTTGATGTAGTGAAGAAAACAGAGTTTTTAACAAATATTTTTCTGCATTTAATTTACATAATTTTCTTCCAGTTAAAATGAAGAGGTAATGTGTTATTATGGACTCATCAGACTATGAAACAGTAGGGAACAAACCAGGAGAGTGTTTGGGGAGGTCTGAGTGTCTCCTTTCAGACATACTCTCACTTTCTTCTGCTCGACTAAAAACAGAAAACAACCGTTATGACGCTGTGTGGTTTTAAACATGAAGCAAATAAAACATAAGCTCTGCTCTACCTTTCTGACGGAGACAGTGTTAGGTTAAAAGCTGCAGAAACAAAAATAACTTTAAAATAGTACATAAATATTTTACTACAGATCCACTAAAACAAGTAATATCTGCTCAGAACATGATAAATAACTCACTGCTCTGAGTTGAAGCATCTTTCATATCAGTCTTAGCTCTGTCCACACCAGTACTTTTCTCAACTCTGTCCATGCTGGTACTTTTCTCAACTCTGTCCACACCAGTACTTTTCTCAACTCTGTCCATGCTGGTACTTTTCTCAACTCTGTC